GATAGCTTTTCTTGTCTGAGCTGTTGTTGAGCATGTAGCCATGTGTGGCTCTCTCCTGTTAATAGCCTTTTCTTCCAAGTCCCTCTTGTCTCCTGAAGTGGCTTGCCAGCTCTTCCAAGGACAGAAGCTTCCTTCTGTTTATATCCTGCACAGCACTCACATAGTCTCATACACATAGTGATGGTTAAAATAATTGGTGAACTAAATTTCCATAAATATATTCTGGAAAAGTCAGCAGTAACAGATTGTTTCAGCCATATGGAAACTTCTCTTATGTAGGATACCTCAAACCGTCATGATTCCAGATACCTGGCATCTACAGATTCAGGAGTATTGGTGTATATCTGAGCATTGCATGAGTATTTTGATGTATCCTTTGTAAGAGTCTCCAACTCAACTTCTTGTTGTTCCTGCTGCTTTTCTTCCAGATATTCTGAGGTACTTTTGGCATCATCCCTTATCAAGGGTGTTGATTGTTGGGGGCTGTCTCAGAAGGTTTCAGCCCTTACCAGGTCCTTGTCTGTCCACAGATCACGTTGCACAAACACATGGGGTCTTGAAAAATGAAGGCCTGCCTTCCAACATGAGCCAGCACTACTCAGGGTCTGGGCTAGGACCTTTGAACACGGAGTGAGGTCTCTCTGCAATTGAACCTCTAAGGAGAGGTCTGAGTTTCCACTCGGGTCACAGAATCCTCCGGACATGTGGCATCTGCTCCTTGGTCTGGAATCATGAGATCATGCTGTCATAGACAGAATGAATGGTATACTGAGGATAAAAGGAGTGTGCTGGAACTTCAGCTAGCCACCCTCCTGGCTTGTCCAAAGTATTCTATATTCTCTTGAAGAAAAAGAGAAGCCTGCATGAGTGATAGTGGAGGTCAGGCTTTGGCCCTGAAATCATATTAATGGAACTTTCAGATAATGTCATTCTTCATTTTTCCTAATGCCAATTTATAGCTTGCATCCCAGACTCCCCAGAGAAGTAGAACTTGCCAAGTATGCTTGTCATTTCTTCTAATTAGGTTTTTAAATAAATCAAAGAACTCTTGTTTTCATTTACCTTGGATTATACAGCAACAATGTTCTTGTGTATGTTGCCAGAGAGGCAATGCCTATTGAAAGGACACCAGATTCCTGACATTCTAAGAGCTTAGGAAGGCTCCTCCCCTCCGCTTTCCTAAGCATTCCATTAGCCCCACCATTTAAGAGGAGGAAAGGACAGTCCTGCCAGGGCAGCATGGCCCCTCCTTCCTACCCATCTCCAAAGTGCTGCTATGGAGTGGGCTTTGTGGTCTAAAAGGGAAGGAGAAGGGAGGAGGAGAGCACTCCCCTGGCCTTTCTTGCAGTTTTCCCTTTGCCTGATTTTCAGCCTTCCTTCAGTTTCTAGTCCTCAGGGTGAATCTTCCCATCTAGGAGGCTAAGGGGTAGAGAGAGCATGGGGGATAAAGCTGGGAGGCATCTGGGGATAGGCCCAGCCCAGCAACCTCCTCTGTCCTTCTTCCTGGCTTCTCACCATGCGGCCCCACTCTGGCCCTTTCCCCAGCATGCCCCCATCTGCCCCCTTATACACTCATAGTATTGTTGGTTTCTGTCTGAAAGCCCCTTTCCTGGCTGTCATCCCTTTGCTCACTGTGGCCTCATAGCTGGTGATTCCTTGCATTAGGTCCGGGAATTCTGGAGTAAGGTGTCATGAGCTCAGACTTGGCCCTGGTGTTTTTGGTCCTGCAGCAGCCTCTGGTCTCTGAGGTCTTCTGAGATGGGGAGACTAAGAACAGGTTGCCATGCTGGTTGCTCTTTTCCCACTGCCTTCCCCATGTCCCATCTCTGATGATTCCACCTGTAGAGGTGGGCAAGCGCAGTGGGAGATCTTAGGACCGCAGCAGAAGCTATGTGGTCAGCAGGCAGTGCAGTTGGCCCCACTGCAGGGAGAAATAAAGCTTGCTGTGTGCCTTATTCAGAAGCGGACAGCCAGCCTTGTTGTACCTGCTTCTTGGGTGTCAAACTTCTGACAATTGGGAATGACAGATATTTAATTTTACTTACCTTGGGGAGCAAAAAGGCCACAATCCTTTGATAAATCATAGGTTTGTGAAAGCAGATAACCCCAGGCCCTGAAGGACCCACCCCCTTCTCCTTCCCTCCCCTCTTCTCCCTCTTCTCTCCCACCCTTTCCCATCTTTTCCCCTTCTCTCTTCTTCTTCTTTGTTTTTCATCATCTTTCCCTTCCTTCATTTCCTCTTTTTCTCTGTCAAACTCTCTCAACTCCCACCAGATATACATTGTTACTTAGCAGAAATCACATATCTTGCTCAAAGGAAGAAGAAAAAAAAACCAGCTTTCTTGGTACTTATAGATCAGGGACTTAGGTAAGGGATGTAGTTGGGTGGGATAGGATTCAATATTAATCTCTTTATTAGGGACAATTGTATACTCTCTACCACTGCCTGCCACTGATCCCTCTGTCCTCCTCAGTCCCCATTGCCTGCTCCAGTGGTCTAAAGCTGTGATGGTTTTTCTCTCATGCCTGCTGTGAGCTGAGATTGGTGGAGAGCTGTCACTACTTTGAGTGCCAGCAGCGCCTGCAACATGGGAAATATGTAGGATGTGTTTTCTCTTATAACCACTGTGTGGCTGCTGGTGAGATCGTGCCCACCATCCTAAAACCGAGCATATGTTTTATTGTGTTGTTATTTAAGTAAATGTTGCTCATGTTTTTATTAGAACAGTGTAATATAATGGAATGTGATCTATACTGTGCTCCATAGTGTCTTAGTTTAAACAGATATGTTCCCCGCTCTGCCTGCCCTGCACCACACACCTGCAAGTAAGTTTCTTTTGAATATCAACACCAGCAAAATCAGGGAACCCTTAGTAAAGGTGCTTAGGTGCTATTTGATATTTAAGGCAGTAAGCTCAGTTGGCCTTTAAATTCATTGGTGAGAGCAAATTACTGTTTTTAAAATAATTTTAATTTTTAAGCATGTTTCATGTTCTAGGCAATATTTATTTGTTTAAATTATGTTTTTGTGCTAGGTTCTATAACAACTATGTCCCAATGTGAGGAATAAGAGCTTACCTACTGAATGCTTCTTTTTTGAGACCGAGTCTCACTCTGTCACCTAGGCTGGAGTGCAGTGGCACGATCTCAGCTCACCGCAAGCTCCGCCTCCCGGGTTCACACCATTCTCCTGCCTCAGCCTCCTGAGTAGCTGAGACTACAGGCGCCCACCACCACGCCCGGCTAATTTTTTTGTATTTTTAGTAGAGACGGGTTTTCACCGTGTTACCCAGGATGGTCTCGCTCTCCTGACCTCGTGTTCCGCCTGCCTTGGCTTTCCAAAGTGCTGGGATTACAGGCGTGAGCCACCGCACCCAGCCCCTACTGAATGCTTTTAAGTGACTTTTCTTGGTTTAATTTATCACCTTTCATAGAGAAGGAAGCACTGGCTCATATAAGTTATTTGGGGAAAAGTGAATATTTGTAGTGTTTACAATGTCCAGATTCCTGCATCTTACCTTTGTATATAGCTGGGAACTTCAAAATAAAAAATTGCAACTTAACCAAGCACAAAATTCTATGTGTTTTGGGCAATTTCTGTTCAGAAGCTTATTATCCAGCTACTTCAGATAACTTTAACCACTTGAAACATAGTCATACGCCACAAAGTCAGTGGTCAAAGTTTCAGATTTGCTAAAACAGTTTCCATCAATTAAGGAACTACAAATCTATTTACTTTGCTACTATGGTAAAAAGCCTTGGACCTTTACTCAGAATTTATTTACTTAATTTTACATATGATTGTAAACTGTAATTATCTGATTTCTCAAATTAAAAGCTGTTAAGAAGCTGCCATTTAGGAAATTGAGAGCAACAAAAGACAGCGACACTGACTCAAAACGAGCTCTACCCAAACAGAAGGACGGGAAAGAGAAAAATGACTGTTCTGTGTAGTACAGTGCATCATGTTGTAGTCTTTATGAAGAAAAATTTAGAATATGGTCTATATATTCTGCCTCAAAAGGCACATAAGTACGTAATATATTTTAAGAGGATCTTTTAAAATCCAATATAGTTCAGTTAAAATCAGTTTTATAACTTACAGCACTCAACTCCATATATTATCATCTGCAGAACATTGCACTTCAGTTATTCCATTTGAATGTTAGTGCATTTACATGACGTTCCAGAAAGCTGAGAGATAACATATCTTAACTCACCGGTTCTCAAATTCCTCTAGCCCAGATCCCTTGTTCAAAAGATATTTTGACTCAGAATCTTGATTTGTAAAACAAAGACAGGAGGAGGCATTCCATTTCATTGACTGCATGAGGCTTCCTGAGTTTTCTCCGTGCCCTCCTCCCATCCTCAGTGACTTTCATAGGAGCCTAAGAAATCCCTGGAACTCCATAGAACTTAATGCAGAGCATAGTGTCAAGCATGAAGCTAGACTAGGACAGGAGTTATTGCCAAGGAGGGAGGCTTTTCAGGCATCCTTAAATCACAGCCTGTAAGTGGTTGCCTACCTGTGGTAATATTGCTTTGCTTATCCACAAAGTAATTTGCTAAGAGTTTCATGGGAAATGAATAGACTGGAATCAACTCCAGTTTCCTTAGTGTCACTGTAACTCTGATTAGCAATGTGACTCAAATGCCCCATGCATTTTCTGCAGGTGGTGCCAAAGCAGTGATTGGCACCAGGATATCCATAGGAAACAGAAGGGAAACCATGATTTGCTTATGGGTGCCCTACCCTGTAGAGCAAAATAGAATTTTCTGATTGTTCTTTTGATTGCTACTGCTGTGCTACTACAATTACTGCTTCATGTTTTCTTGTTGTTCCTCCCCCTCCTTCTTTTTCCCTTCTTCTTTTCTTTTTTAGTAGTAGAACAAGACACTGTTCAGTAGTGTAGCTAGATGCTTTGGTTTCTTTTATCATTGTTATGTGCAAAAGCAATTGTCAAACTGATTTCATGTGCTACACCATGTTCTTCCCTCAGGAAGAGGAAATCCAAGAGTGATAAAAGCATCTGCAAGCAGAGTAAAGGCATCTCAGTCAGTGGATTTCTTCTACAAGTTTCATGGCAGTGGTACTGCAGTGTTTTAGCTTCTTTGTAGGTGGCTGATAATGTGTAAATACCCCATGTTGAATGAATTCAACTGTCCAAGACCTATGAGGCTGCAGTTTCTTTCCTGATCCTACCCCTCCAAGGTGGTGGTTTGCAGCTCCTCCAGGAGACTGGAGTCTCCTCTGGCCGCAGCAGTACTTTATTTCTTTATTTCTTCTCACCTACCTGACACAATTGGCTCAAAATTTATACCTCAGCAGGGAAACTACTCCTCGGAAGGGGCAGGTTGCCAGCAATCTCTAAGAGTATCTTCCTTAAGAACAGGAACTCAAGGCCTTTCACACTTGGATGCTTTGATAGACCATTTGATAGATAGGCTTAGTTATAGTGCGTTACTTTCAGGCTCAAACACAGAAATTATTCATGCAAATCCTCCTTCCAGTCTGTCCTTTTAGAGAGGGCTGAACTTTCCTATCTTATATCGTGTACGACACTGGCAGTCATGAAATGTAGATTCTGCTCATTCATCTCTCTCCATGCAGTCCATTTTTTATCATTAGAGAAAAAGATAAACTTTAAAAAGTTTTATTGTATTATAATTTTAAACTAGTATTGACTGTCAGAGAGGCCAACTTGTGTAATGCTTATAAGCATGAGCTCTGAAGCCAGACCACCTGGCCCTCCTGTGCCTTAATTCGCTGACCTTGGGCAGTTTTCTCATCAGTAAAATGGAATTAAGAATAGAAGCTGTTTTATAGGGTTGTGAGGGTTAGGTGAACTACCATTTGTGAAGTGCTTATAAGAGCACATAGCAAATACTATATTCCTTTTAGCAGCTTTTCCTGCTTTTGTTGCTATTCTTATTATTGTTTCCTGGATGTGAAAGCTGAACTTGCCTTCTTTTCCTTCTGGAAGATTTGGGCAGAAACCCAAGTAACTTAGTCTAGACTCATGCCTGGGATAGAAGCCTAAAATGACTGGCCCCTGGAAATCGAGACACTTTTGCAGTAGGGTAAGAATGCCTGTTTTCAACTTAGATCTAAGTTTGGATGTTGGTCTTGCCCCTTAGCTACTTGAGTGATAATGTAGAAAATATTTTAAAATGGAAGAGAATAATGCCTACATTGTAAGGTGCTGAAACTTAGAAATGACAGAATAAAGAGCTGGTTCTTATTATATGCTCAAAATATTGGAGCTATTATTATTATTTGAAGAGACAATCTAGCCCACCCTAAGTCATGAAGATATGGAGCTACTTGGTGAGTGGAGAGACTGTTGATAAAGTTTGTTTAATATTTAAGATGAAGTTTTAAATTTGCTTTGTAATAGAAATAATTACAATATTTAGTGTATTTATGTATATATTATATATGCCCACTTTAATACTAGGGAACTCTTCGGGACTCTTCAGAACAGACTGTTAACATTTCTTTCTTGTCTTTTGAATTGAATGTTATAGAAATCAGCTCTCAGGAGGAAGTGTGCAGTCTGTAAAATCGTCGTCCACACCGCCTGCATTGAGCAGCTAGAAAAGGTAAGAGCGCGCCCCCTGCTGCAGCTTTGTTACATTGCAAGTATTTGGTCTTCAGAGGCCCAGTGTAACTTTCTAGTTCCAACTTTTTGAAAACAGTGCCCTTAAAAAAAAAAGCTGGAAGTGCAACACTATTACCAGATTAATAATGGAAAGACAATGTTTTAGGGTCATTCACTCTCTTGTTTGCTGAAGTGTAATTTGATATCATTTTACGTTGACTCTTGGGAAATGGAATAACAGTTAGATGGAAAAGCCTGGAATTCTCTTATTATATCATCTCAGTTCAAGCATTACTATTCACCCATAGGCTCTTCCACAAGTTGTTTAAGAAGGAGGAAGTTCTATAAGCTTTTTATAATTGTTGTTCACATGTATCTGACTTGTGTGGTTTACTTCTTCTCAAAGTGCCTACAAGGGAGTGAGCCAAGCTGGAAGCCAGCTCTCAGTCTGCTGGGCAGTGCTCCTCCTGTTGCTGCTCAAATGTGTGGGTGGGACTGGAAGTGACATCCTGGTGCTGTACCTCCAGAATAAGTGGATTCGGCAAATCCATTTATTTGTTATTTAGGGGATGGGAAAGGCTCCAGTAGTGAGTTGCCTGCCATCCTTTTCCCTTTCACACTTCCTACTCCATTTTTATGTGTGTTTCTCTGTGTATTATCTATGTTCTTGAGCTGTCATGGGTAAAAGCATTGAAATATTTTAGTCCCCCATGACATTCATTTAGTTTCACTGACATGACCAGTTGATCCTAGCTGATGTCTTATGGCAATGACTACCAACATGTTATCTTAATATTTTCTTTTCTGCCCCAACTTCACTTACTGATCTCTGCCATCATTCTTTTGCTCCTTTCACTTTATCGAGTAGCTAACCAAGATGTCAATGTGCCTACTAGGAGACCTCCTCATCTAAAAGAAAAGCAATGCTGAATCTTTTTATAAAGAATAACTCTGGGCTGGGCACAGTGGCTCATGCCTGTAATCCCAGCACTTTGGGAGGCCGAGGCGAGCAGATCACGAGGTCAGGAGATGGAGACCATCCTGGCTAACATGGTGAAACCCCGTCTCTACTAAAAATACAAAAAATTAGCCAGATGTGGTGGCACGCACCTGTAGTCCCAGCTACTCAGGAAGCTGAGGCAGGAGAATCGCGAGAATCGCCTGAATTCAGGAGGCGGAGGTTGCGGTGAGCTGAGATTGCACCACTGCACTCCAGCCTGGGTGACAGAACGAGACTCCATCTCAAAAAAAAAAAAAAAAAAAAAAAGAAAGAAAAAAAAAAGTAACTCTCTTGTCTTTGAATAGTCATCATAATACTAAAAAAATCTCAAGTTTATATTTTCTGTTTTTACAATCAGAAACCCAGCTGAGTAGTTTCAGCTGCCAATATCTTTCCTCTGGCTCTTTCTTATCTCAGTTTCTCAAATTTGTGGTGTAAGAGCATTATTGTTTAAAGATACTTAGATTTCATTCTTGAGAATGAAGGAAAGGGGTTGGAGATATAGAATCACCTGGGATCTCAGTTAATTATCTAATGCGATGATTTCAAAAGACTAAGAAGAGTATTGTTTCTTGTTCTTTGAAGGTTTTGCTTTTCAGTCTTCAATATCTATCACTGTTTTTTTTTCCAGGTAATTCAGTCTAGTCTGATGCGTATCTCTAATATAATATACTTTTCTTTTTGAATGACAGATTAATTTCAGATGTAAACCAACATTTCGAGAAGGAGGCTCAAGGTCACCAAGAGAAGTGAGTATTTCAGAGCTTGATTTCAAGTATCACCTTCAATTTCTCATTGATTCAGTGGCTTCATAGATATTCACCAGGGAATAAAAAATAAATTCTATCTCTCTCCATTGCACGCCAATGTTTTGTTAACACATCCATAAATACAACCAATAAAATCTCCAAGTCTTTTCAACATGTGCACACTGGACTTTATTCTCATAAAATGTACCGGGGAGTTAAGGTCTTACCGAATGAACCAGAGACTAGAGGAAGGCGGTAGTGATAGAATTGAAGGGGTAAGAAAGAAATAGACTTTATTTATTTATGTATTTTGAGACAGAGGCTCGCTTTGTCACCATGTCTTCTGGTTGATTTTACGTGCATTTTCCCATTTTGAGTGGGTATAAGCTACTCATGGGGCAGCACAGTAACTGGTTATTCCTATAAACCCTGGAGTCAGGTGGTCCACTTTTAAAACCAGCCTTGATGCTGTGTGATCTTGGGCATCTCACCTAAGCTCTCTAAATCTTGGTGTTTTCGTTTGTTAAGTAAATGAATAAATACATCATAAGCTAGAACTATATTCAGTTCTCGGTCTCTGACCCTCCAGTCTGTCGTGAAGATAAACAGGTAAAGAGGAAATTTGAATGAAGAGTTGTTACTGATGTGTTGGTGGGAAGCAGAGGTATGACAAGAGGAGACAGCACATATTTGTTCATATTTTATTTAGAGGAGACAGTGAGCACAGTTCAGGCAAAGATGGAGAAGGCAGGGCGGGTTCTCAGCCTTCCTGTGTTATTCTGGACAGTTTAGCTTCAGGCCCAAAATTGCATTCCCCAATCAGCGAAACAGAAGCCTGCAATGAACAGAACCTGTCCTCCTAGAATGTAGTTCCGCCTGCCCAGCAGTCACTCACTGCTTCCTAAACATTACCATCTTATACGATATCCTCCTGAGCACAAAGTCCAGTAAAGATGATTTCTAATCAATGTATTTTCTCAGGGAGATGAGGTTCAGTTCCAATTACAGATTTACTCCTTGGAAACCTTCCTGGATGGTCTACTCCTCCAATCAACTCTGTGTAGTAACAAATAGGAAAGAGAGGAAAGGGGTCAGCAAAGGGGCTTCTCCTGAGGAGCTAAGTTAGTTGAGAGGAGGGTGGTTAGGAGGTGAGTGGTGAGAGCCTTCTGGATAAAAGGAAGAGGATGCAAATCCAAATGAGAGACTGTACTGAGTAAGACATGAGATCTGAGATAGCAAGGGCTGGATCGTGAAGGTTTCTGTAAGCCATGCTGCAAGTTGAGTGTTTTATCATCAGGATAGTTGGCGGGTGAGCATTAAACTACTTTAAGCCAAATATTGTTCAGGCTGCAGTGTGGAGGAAATACCATGCAGTTCAAGAGTTGGAGGCATACAGGCAACTTTCAGAAGCCATGCTAGTAATCTAGGCAAGAAATCATGGTGACATGAACTAAGAATAATGTTGGTAGATATGAATTTGGAGGAAACAAAATTGACAGGATATAGTAACTGATTGAATTTTGGACACAAGAGGAGCCCAGACTAAACCAAGCTACTGCTACACACACACACACACAAAACAAAACAAAACAAAACAAAACAAAACAAAACAAAAACTGAAAAACTGATTAGATGTATGAAAATGAGTTGATGTGAGGATGGGGTGGGGAGGTAATGACTTTAGTTGTAGAACTATGAAGTGTGAGGTGTCCCTGTTGTCCTCAACTGGAGATGCCCAATAGAAGGTTGAGTGGGTATATGAGTTTGGAGCTTATGAGGAAGACTGGACTGGAGGTCAGGCATTGTGAGTCATCAGCATATTTGCACAGTAATAAAAGCTGTGGGAATAGATGAACGTGGAGAGTGGGAGTAGGAGATATCTGAGAATTACAAACGTTTAAAGACAGTTGATGAAAAAAGACAACATGAATATGAACGCTCTAATTGTTAGTGACAAAGCAAAAGGATGGGAAAAAATGTGGAAAGAGAGTAGGTTGGGATGGAGGTTGTAGAAAGAGTAAAACATAGTTGTCTTCATCGATTGTCTTCTCCCAGCGTAGCAGCAATAGGAAGGTTGTGGGCCATGCGCAGGATGAGGTGGGCAGGAGAAGAATGATAGGGCTGTGGTGTCTTAGTGCCACCCAGAGTGCGGACAGCGTGGGCCAGAAGATAACTCAGTGATAACTCAAATGAAAGAGGTGCTTTATTTAGGAAACTGGAAGAGAGAGTTTCATGTTAAGATGGAGTTTATGACTTTCCAGCCTAGGGATTCATATACCTACCTTGAGCTTTCTGCCCTCCAGTATGTATCTCTCTCTATCGATAGGTCAGTGTGGAGGCAGGGGAAGAGAGAGAGACAATTTTAATTGTGCAATTTTTCTAATACAGCATGTTTTTGGTTTTTATTAGCCTGTACCACTTCTCTGAAGCTAGACCTTCCATAAGGGTTTTGGATATTCTCCCTTGTCTTCTTATCAAGGACTTGAAATTCCTTCCTTTAATATGTTTTCATCACCTCCCTCTATTTCTAGATAATTTCTACCAGCATAAACACACTCTAATAATTTCTATCTTTAAAAAAAAAAACCAAAAACACTCCTTAGCCACCAACTGTGTCTTACCTACTGCTCTAGTTCTCAGTTTTGTAGTCACTGCCAAGCTTCCAGTGTTAACTATATAAATTATTTTCAGTATGTCACTTTCTAGTCATTGTAACCTGTTCTAATCTGATGTCTGCTCTATCCATTTACTGAAATTGCTGCTGCTTTCAGTTTGCCTATGATCTCCTATATGCTAAATGTATTAGGTGTTATTTATTTTTCTGTTCTTCTCAAAAATATTCAAGATACTACATATTCCATCCTTCTTGGAATGCTCTCCTCTCTTGGCTTCACATATCACCCTTTCCTAATTTTTTTCTTGCTTCATTGGATAGCCCTTTCTATTCTTTTTCATTGCTTATTCCCCCAACCTCTGCAAATCCCTCTGAGCTTAGTTCTTGTCTATGTTCTCTTCTCTCTGCCCACTCCTGTTAGAGGAGCTCATCCGGTCTCATGGCTTCAAATACCATGTGGGCTGACAACTCCTAACTTTACATTTCCAGTCTGCCTTTCTTGGAGTTCCACTTGGCATGTCTTTTGAATGTATCACAGTCATCTAAAATATAATACATCAAACACTAGACTATTCCCATTACCATAAAAATGATTTAAGAAAATCCTATGCACCTCAGGAAATGAGATGGCTGTTGATCTGGCTTCTCAGTTGAGAAAACTGGGGGGTCATGTTTATTCCTTCTCTCATAGACTGCCCACATCTAATTCATTTGCCCGTCCTTTCAATTTTATTTATAAAATATATTTCAAATCCACCCAATTATCTCCAATTCTGTTATCAGCACCTTAAACTAAGGTACTGTGACCTCTCCCCTTTGGCCAATGCAATAGCTTCTTCATGACTCTTCAGTTTTCACTTTCAGTCCACCCATGATTTAAAGAAGTAATCTTTCAAAGTGAAAATTAGATTATGAGGTTGGTACAAAAGTAATTGAAAGTAACGACAAAAACCGCAATTACTTTTGAACCAACCTAATATAATTTTCCCTGGCTTAAAACTCTCCAGTGGTTTCCATAACTCTTAAAGCGAAAGCAAACCCTCTGTCTTGGCATGAAAAGGCCCATGTCGTCTGGCCCCTGCCTGCCTTTCCAGCCTCCTCCAGCTCCCATATAGACTTTCTTTCCATTTGTGTGGCACACACAAAGATATTCCCCACCTTTGGATATTTGTGTATTTCATTGCTGTACTAAAAATCTCTTTGCGTGACTGTTTCTTACAGTTAGGCTCAGTTCAAATATCATCCCCCTCAGACACTGTCTTAGTCCGTTCAGGCTTTTGCAATGAAATACCATAGACTGGGTGGCTTATAAGCAACAAAAATTATTTCTCACAGTTCTGCAGGCTGGAAGTCCAAGATCAATGTATCAGCATGGTCCCATTCTAGTGAGGGCCCTCTTTGGGGTTGCAGATTGCCACCTTCTCATTGTGTTCTCATGTGGAGGAAAGAGGGTGAGAGAGTTATCTGTTGTCTCTTTTATAAGGACCCTGATTGCATCCATGAAGAATCTATTCTCATTACTTGATCACCTCTCAAACACCTCACCTCCTATTACCATTGCATTGGGGTTTAGGATTTCAACATACAAATTTGGAGGGGACACAAACCCCAGTCTTTTGCAGAGGTCTTCCTTAACAACCACCTTTAAATACATAGTATATTGTTCTTTATCAAAGTATCTTGTTCTTTCTTTTCAGGACACTTTGTATACCGTAATAATTTAGGCATATTACTGTTTGCTTGTCTAAAGAATGTCTCCCTCCTTTAGTGTAAATTTTGGGAGGCCACTCATAGATTTTGTCCTAAATTAATTGCATCAAAACACAGAGTATGTGATTGATGGATATCCGCTGACTGAATGCATTTACAAAGGTATTCATTTCTCTCAAAATGTTTAGGAACTCTTAGTCTAAAAGGACATTTTGAAGATGAAACTCATGACTCACTGACTATGACTCATTTGATATTCTTAATTAAAAATTAAGAATTCTACTACTACTAATTTAGATGTTTACCTAGTAAATGAAAAAACATTTGCTTTAGAATTAGTTTGACCCTAGTTCGAATTATACCTCTGCTTCTTTTCCACTAAGTGGTAAGAGTCTCTGGAGCACAGATTATTGGTCACTATGCCCTGGCATTTGCATAGTGCCTGACGTGTGACAAGTTTTAAATAAATATTTGTTGGAACCATCTAAGTTGAATCTTTCTGGATCTCCTTTTTCTTAGTCATAAGCCATGATGGATTGGGTTATGATTTCTAAGATCCTTTCAAACTCTATAAAATATATATATACACACACACACACACACACACACACATATATATAATTTTTTATGTCCATAGGTTTTTGAGGAACAGGTGGTATTTGGTTATGTGAGTAAGTTCTTTAGTGGTGATTTGTGAGATTTTGGTGCACCCATCACCTGAGCAGTATTTACCGAACCCAATTTGTAGCCTTTTATCCCAGTTCAACTGGCTGTTTGAAAATAGCCAAGCAATTGTATTATGTATTTTTGCTAACAATACTGAATATAAGCCCTGAAATAATGCATTACCAATACTTTAACACCCATAAGTAATAGCCCTTTCCTTGCCCAGTGCTTGAAGTTGTATATGAATAATTCAGAAGTTATTGATGAACAATAAAAAGGTTTTATGATGTTAGAAGCCTTGCTTTGCTATCTTAACAACGTGTCAACACTCACATTTGCAGTGTTAAGGATCCTGAGTCCAATGTCAGTTCAACAACTTAGGAGCTCTTAATAATGGTCAAAAGAAAAGAGGGTGAGAAATTAAAGCACTTGGGATATAAGGATTAGAAAATGTAAATGATTCTATAGTAATGTTATTTTCCTTATTGATGAAGACAATTGATGATCCTCCCCTCCTCCATGGTAACTATGTGATTTAATCGTCAAAGAAATTAGGTGGATAATTCCATTCAGTTAAACCCACATGTATTGGATGTTTGCTTTGTTCAAACTGTCATTAAGCAGCAGTAGAATAAATTTCTATTGGGCCTAAAAAGAACTCTGGACAGAAGGGCGCTGGACATCTCAAATCACAGAGCTATATTTTGGATACAATTACTCATTTTCTTCTATGATAGTGATTTTGTATAAGTTAGTTTATCAATCCATGCCTTAGTTTTTGACTTATTTTCTAGGAAGGATGATATTAAAAATATTTAACAAATGGAAGAGCCATAGAGAGTAATATTTAAATAATTTTTAAATGTTCTTTTTTTTATTCCCCAACTAAACTATATGATATTGTACATCTGCTTACCAAATTATATACAGTAGTCCCCTCTTATCCATGATTTTGTTTTCCAAGGTTTCAATTACCCAAGGTCAACCACAGTCCAAAAATATTAAATGGAGAATCCCAGAAATAAACAATTCATGTTTTAAATTGCATGCTGTTCTGAGTAGTGTGATGAAATCTTACGCCATCCTACTCTGTCCTGGGATATGAAACACCCCTCTGTCCAGCGTATCCACTACCTGCCCATTCATTACTTGGTAGTTTTCTCAGTTATTAGATTGAAGAATCATTGTCTATGTAAAATTTGGTACTATCCATAGTTTCGGTCATCCACTGGGAGTCGTAGAACATATCTCCTGGGAAGAAGGAACAACTGCGTGTTGCAGTACAAATGAGGAAGTCAGTCTTAAGATTCCTAAATAATTGTTGATATATGGAAAGTGTTGGCTGACTGTTTTGGGTAGAGCTGTCACTTGCTAAGTGATCCCATGAGTCAGCCATGATTTCACACAGGTAATTGCATCAAATGTTTCCAACATGTTCCTTCTTAAATTGATAGTCATTAGCTGATTTATAATCTCAATAACTACAGATTTTTTTTCTGAACATCAATGATATTGTTCATTTTCCCTCAGCTTCTGCTACACTAACAGCAATTATATTACGTTTTTCTATTCTGTATGATACTGTCTGACATTTTTATATATTCAATATTTCTACTACTGACTGTCATTGAAATCATTCATTGGCGTGTCATGTTGAAGTAGCGTGAGCCCTGTCTTGCAGAACAGAGGAAAAGCACAGTGACACAATGGTAAGAGCACAGATTCTGGTGCCAGCCTGTCTGGGTTTGGACCCTCACTTTGACCTTTACATTTTAAGTAATGACTTCTATGCATTAGTTTCCTTTTCTGTAAAATGAGAATGATATTGACCATGGAAGTCAAACCCTCTGATAATGTGTGAATTGGGATATGCTGCAGTTGGCAGCTGGCTCCGGTTCTCCCTAATGCTTATTCCTAAGCAGGCAGTGGACTAAGGTTCTCATCTTATCTGTTGATGCTAAAGGTAGGCAGATGCTAAAGGTGTCAGCAGTAGCCTCAGCTGCAAAGTAAAGAGGTGGAGGATCCAGTACCTTCATCCTCAGTAGAATGTTTGCACTGAACTGATGGGATAGATACTGATAACTGGGCAGGTTATTCTGGAATTGCTGTCATTTTCTTGAAAGCCACAGCCAGCCACAGGACCCAGAATTATCCATCCGTGTGGATATTTAAGGTTGTGCAGACAACCACCACCAGCTGGGCCCAGCCCCCAGCATTCTGAGATTCTTTGGGGGAACCAGTAACATTGCTCAGACAACATGATTTGTTTTCAGAAGAGAGAGATCATTGGAATAGGATCCAGGAGACCTATTATGTCAGAAATTAACATTATAATTGCTTAATATAGAGGAGGCAGAAGTGGTCTCTAATGTTGAGGGGATGCAAGGGAGGAGTCAGAGAGATGCTAGGCACTAAACTGCAATTTCCCAATCAATGTATATTTCAGTATTTCAACAACTCATAGGATTTTACTGATACATTCCAAATAAGTGGTATCTCTACTCATGAAAATTCTCATGAAGATTGAAATAATTATTACTTATAAAATATTTCTTAAAGTACATGGCTCATAGTACACAACAAGTGTTAGCTTTTATAATTAGCTTCTTTCTTAGAACAATCTAAGCTTGTGTCTTTGTTTTATTAAACTGTGGTAGTAGGAAAAGTGAGACAAACATTAGACTAAATTGTGGGACCATTGTACTTCTTTATATCTGATTATAGTTAAAAGACCATTATTCCTCCAGGGTCTTTGTTTAGTTTCACTTTAAGTGGATTTGACATTATTAAGAGAAATAGAGGTGGCATTTCGGTATTGATAATGCTAATGCTTATTAGTGGTATTCTTGTCACTCTGAATTTCGTGCTTTGATATATAACTTTTTCTCCCTCTACACTGATCTATTTTCTGTCCATCTGTACTTACTAACAGAACAGTGCCTGGCATGTAGGAAAAATTTGAATAGTTGAATATATATTAAAGTGAATATATATTAATAAATTGAATATATTAAATTGAATATATATTAATATATTAAATATATTTTAAAGGGAAAATAAGGACTATGGCTAGACCCTACAATAGACATGTTAGTATTAGATTAAGTGTGTTTTCCCAGAAAAGGGCAAAAGAAAATAATGAGCACTTTAGGGGTATTGGTGTCAGAGGGATGAATTGTTTGTAAGTTATGAGGGCTTGCCTGCATTCTTAGTCCTGAGGATGACTTTCTTGTAATGTATCCTGAGAACCAGTGGTGAATTGTGCTACTTGACTCTGCCCCAGGAGTGCTTGCCTACTTGGGAGGAAAAGGATTTTCTGTGTTTCCTACAGTCTGAGACAAAGATAGACCTTGAAAGCTAATCTGGAATAGTTCATGGTACCCAAGGATGGTTTAAACACAATACCATTGCAGAAACATCATTGATATGCTTATATCTCTTGTCCTTGACATCTCTTGCCTTCAGCTTTTCTCTTTCTTCACTCTATCTAGTTAGTAATTCTTACATCTATGTCTTGTATTAGAAGATCTATTTCTGAGAGTTTGATCTACATTATCTCTAGCTAGAATGTTTGGTGTGGTGCCTGCCTGCCACAGATAAAGCACTACATACCTATTTGTTAAATTGAGTTGGATATTGTTGTTTCAGCTTCTCCCCTTCACCTTTCCACTTTTCTTTGGCCATTTCTTTTACCTGCCTCAGTTACCTCCCAGCTCAAGGTCCTCTACTGTGTTCACAAATCTGCAGAGTGTTTGACTAGTAAGACGGTAGAGTAACAGAAATCTGGTGTGGCCAGTTGCCACTAGGAAGACGTGGAGGGAAGGCATGAGAAGTGGAATCTACAGATATGAAAGATCTTTGGGGATGGAGAAGTAACTTCATTTGTCCAAGTAGATTCATGTTTATTGTTAAACAAGTCATACTCATAAATATTTGTTTCTGGGCTCATCTGGGCTTAGATCGTGGTTTATGTAAATCAATAGTATTGCCACATTAAAAATGAATATGGAGGTTTGCAAATTAAAACATATTCAGTCAAGTGCAGTAGCTCATGCCTATAGTCCTAGCTATTCAGGAGGCTGAGATGGGAGGATGGCTTGAGCAGAGGAGTTCGAGGCTGCAGTGAACTATGATTATACCACTGCACTCCAGTGTGAGTGACAGAGCAAGGCCCTGTCTATAAAAATAAATTTTTAAAAATATTCATTTAATTTTGTTTTCCCACAGAATTTTGTACGTCATCACTGGGTGCACAGGCGTCGGCAGGAGGGGAAATGTAAGCAGTGTGGTAAGGTAAGAGCCCAGTCACCTCATGGCCTCGCAGGAGGCTCCCCAGGCCTCTGCAAGCACCTGAGGTGGATAAGTCCTGTCCCCGAATCCAGTGTTCACTACATCAGTTCCTTTTTGAAAGACCTTACTTGTTCAGGTCTCTTTAAGAGGCATTGTAGTTGTTCTAGAACTCACTGCATGAGGCAGTGGTGTTAATAAAAAGAATTAGCACATTTTAAGATACATGGATGCATTCTTACAGTGAATTTCATTAATGATTTTTGAAAATATAACTATTTTGTGAAAATACCCTCATGAAGACAACTGACTCATCATACTTTGGTCAGTAGCAGCAAATCAATGGGTTTGAGTAACATGATGTATGCTAATATAAAATTGTGTTTGGGCAGAACTGTTTAGGACAGCATGGTCAGCAGCTAGAAATGTGTTGCTCCCTTGGGACATTATCCAGTTCCTAGAAGAGATGCCCTTTTTATTTGTGGTTGTTTATATCTACCTCCTCTGTCATCATGGCTGCTTATAGGCCCCTCAGGATGCAGCGCCACTTGGAAAAGTGAGCTGGGGCAAGGGGTGGGGTGTTATGACTACATACTATTAAATGCCGTAGATCCCATGTGTCATTGACCCCAACAGATTTGGGTTATAGCTTTTTCCAATGTACAAAGATCTACTTTAAGGATGACGGGGTCTTCTGGGAGGGTTAAACTGGTGGTAAATATCACTATATGTATTTATAGTGTGATTTACCACCAGTTTTTTTAATGATATCAGTAGTAAACTGATGGTCATCAGTAAAGGGAAGTTTTGATTTGGCAGAGGGCAAGATAATTTGGGGGGAATATATTCCTAAATAATTATTCCTCTGTTTGTTTATTCATGTGACTCCTTTGGGTCAAGCATTGGTGTGAGCTACCCAGGGCAGCATTTTTGAGAGCAGAGCAATGCAAGAAAATATTGGCTTCCTGAGGTAGGGTTGTGGAAGGTGAGGGAGGGAGACTTGGAAAAAATTGCATTAATTTTGCTGTTTTGCCCAGTGCCTGGGAAGAAAATATGCTGTGACCATTGGTTATGAAGGTCTTCTCTGGAAGGCTACACACCTTAGCCTCCAGGGCATAGGCTCCCATTGTAACCAGTATTTTGTCCTCTAGTTCAACCAGGTGGCTCTCAGTTGGTTCTCTTTTAGCCAGTAAAGAGGATGAACAAAACAGGGTGAAAGCAGAGCGAGGTAAAACAAAGTAAACAAGGCGAAGTGGGGAGGTGGAAAGATTTGTACCGATTCTTTTTGGCCATCTTACATGTCCTGGGGAAAAGGAGGTCACACCTCTACTCTCCCATGACCTTTCTCTCTTGGGTCCATCAACCTCTTCCAAGGTGTTGCCTTGGGGCTTATGGATTTTCTTTTACTTCAAGAATCATTGACTGTAACTTTCCCATAAATGTGCATGTATGTGTGTGCATGCATGTGAGGGTAAGAGAGATGCTGCAGTCAGGCAAGCATAGCAATTTTTTTTGGTCAGAGATGTAAAGAGTAGTAAGAATCTGGATGAATAGGTCCTTCACTTTGAAAAAAATATCTTCACTGGAGCCCAGTAGCTGGCACCACCTCAATAATGTAAGCCATAATGGAGTGGGAGGGATTTTATTAAAAGAAAATCAATAAACATTTTATACTTTGAGACAAGTGTTCCCTAGTGCCATATTGCACTCTCTTCTGGCCTCTTGTTGGCATGGTCAACTGAACAGAAAAAACTGGGCTTCCTCCACCCTCAGTTGCTGTGTCTCCTTTCCTGCCAGTGTTCTCAGCCAGCCATCGTGCCGTGCGCACAGCTCGCTGCAGGTCTGTGGTCAGTGGGGAAGTCAGTGATCCAGCTTGTCACGTCATGTTTCCAAAATATTGCACTATTATAGTTATCTTTTGTGTTTATAATCCAGGTTCTCCATGAATTCTTCAAGACTCAAACAATTATGGGATGGGTGGGATTGTTTCCTTGCCAAATAATAAATTACCCTTCCTTGGATTCCAACTTCCACCCTGGACAGGAAAGCTATGGCTCTGTTTCCATTTACAGATTAAGTAATGAAAATTCACTCCAAACCTTGGTGCTATGCATAATTTTCATCAGTAGTGTTGTACATTCTTATTCATATTCATAGACTTTTAAACCTCACTCCATCCCCCATACACACACACACACACACACACACACACACACACACACACATATGCACACATACATTATTCCGTAATTTACTCATTGGGATGGAGTGAAAAATAATTGCCTCACTTAGCAAAACTTTTTTTTTTTTTTTCCCAACTGATGGCTTGCAAACTTTACAAATTTTTTAGAAAGTGTTGATGGTTAAAGAGTGTTTGTGATTTCCATTTCTACTTTTAAAATACACAATAAAACGATGTTTGTACTGATTTTCTCTTGCCTTAAATATGTGTTTGGCTGAGTGTGTGTGGCACTTAACAGAGATCAGATGAGATAACTCATGATTTGATTGCTCAGTTCCTTTAAGGTTAGCTCTATGCCTCAGCCTACTAGGTTTATAACCCTTCTGCAGTTTTTCATTGTCATTCATAGTCCTTGATTACATAAGAGTCAGGGTCAAGGCACAAAACAGACGAAATGCTCATGTTCAAATTACGTAATTTGATGAGAGTTTAATGAGGAGAATATTTAAAATACATGAAAAACATCAGGGGTGGGGGGTGGGGGAGGGCGGAACCACGAGAAAAAGTGGAGCACACTGTGACTAATATAGAGAGCTATGGTCAAGCAAAGCCTGAAGAGGTGAGGAGATGGAGAGAACCCCTTCCCAGGAGCTGCAACTTTTAGTCACAAGACTCAGCCAGCCTGTGGTGACCTACAGACTGGGGAAATACATCCCTAGCTCCACCTACCTTCACTTTCTAGTGGCCAAACCCAACAGAAACCAGAGCACAAGGGATTCTTTGATGCAATCCATAAAAGCCAACTCTTTCCAATGAGTCATTGAGTAGAGAAGGATGGAGAGTAGAACTGAAGAGGCAGATGGAATGGATCTAGCATGTATTGTTTAATGCAAACCTGTAGTTAATCAATGGTTGGAGGCAGAATGCATACTTTTGCTGTAAACATGTCTCTGATCTTCACTAGATCTACACATTGCATTTATTCAATCAAAATTTATGAAACACTAAGTTGTCTATAGTACTTCAAAAAATCTATAATCAAAAAAGTATAGTAATGATTATGGCTATTTTGACTCTTCATTTTTTGAGGGAAACACACATCCAAACCTAGCATTATGGTAATTGTGAAAATATGTTTGTAAATCACTACTTGAAAGCTTATCTTTTGTTTCTTCATATGTAAAATTTATAAAAATAAGCTAACTTTTTGAAAATCAAAATTAAAAAATTTCGAACATCAATTCTTGAAACCGGTTTTAAATGCAGTATACACATTGAATATCCCTTATCTGAAATGCCTGGAACAAGAAGTTTTTTGGATTTAGATTTTTTTAGGATTTTGGAATATTTGTGTATACATAAGATGCCCTGGGGATGGGACCCAAGTCTAAGTATGAAATTCACTTATGTTTCATGCTACACCTTAAACACAAAGCCTGAAGGTAATTTTATACAATATTTTAAATAATCTTGTGCATGAAACAAAGTTTTTACTATGAGTTGTCACACGAGGTCAGGTGTGAAATTTTCCACTTGTGGCATCATGTTGGCACTCAAAAGGTTTTGGATTTTGAAGCATTTTGGATTTTTGATTTTCAGATTAGGGATGCTCAACCTGTAATACATAGTTAAACTTTGTCTACATTTTTTATGCAGTTCAGTTCCTGTATTAGGCTGTTTTCACGCTGCTGATAAACACATACCTGAGACTGGGCAATTTACAAAAGAAAGAGGTTTATTGGACTTACAGTTCCACGTGGCTGGGGAGGCTTCACAATCATGGTGGAAGGCAAGGAGGAGCAAGTCACATCTTATGTGGATGGCAGCAGGCAAAGAGAGAGCTTGTACAGAGAAATTCCCGTTTTTAAAACCATCATAGCTCACGAGACTCATTCTCTGTCACAAGAACAGTGCAGGAAAGACCCGCCCCCATAATTCAATCACCTCCCATCGGGTTCCTCCCTTGCCATGTTGGAATTGTGGGAGTTACAATTCAAGATGAGATTTGGGTGGGGACACAGACAAACCATATCAGTTCCCTAACCAAACATACTACATTAAGATGAATTATTTGTCCATAAATAATATGTATTTTCATATATAGTTTACATAGCATGCAGTGTTTATTAAATGGGAAAACATCAAAACTATATTTGTAGTAAATATTGTTAAAAAGTAACTTGAGAATGAACTTAGGGTACAATATGTAAATTATACACAAAAATGCCAAAGTGTTTAAAACTACTTCATGGGAGTGCAGTTGGGATATTACATGGGTAGGGAAAGGGATTACAGAGTATAAAAATAATGGAAAATACTGACTTGGGCCTTTCAGGAATGTCCCCTTATCAACTTAAAGCAACATACTCTACTAATCTGAAAATGTGTACCCTGGGAGTTAAGGTTAAGGACAGGGAAGGGAAGTTTAAGGGTGAGGATTCACGCACTGGTTGGGCGGGTTTGGTTATTTGCCTGTCTGTGTATTTGTGCAGCTATAGCAGAGGAATCCTCTCCCGGTAGCCCCAGGAGGATTATGAGTAGGTAGAGAGGGGGCAGTACAAGGGCAAGGAATCTAGGATGCTCCATAAAGCCCCTACCCACATGACTGCTGGAAGCCTGGCCCTTCTCTCCTTGGCTGAGTATCAAGAAGGGGGATAAGGACAACCACTGTTCTACTCTCTGCTCCTATGAGTTTTGACTATTTTAGATTTCTTACACTAGTAGTATCATGTAGTGTTTGTCCTTCTGTGTCTGTCTTATTTCACTTAAGCATAATATCCTTCTATAGATTCATCCTGGGAGGGGGAAATGGGGAATTACTAGG